AGACTGCCTCACTTATTTGGTATAATTTGGGCCATACTGAAATATCGTGTTTAAATCTTTTAACTGAAATAAGAGTTTGGAGACGAAAAGAACCTCCTTATAATCTAAGCTATAATCAATTTAAAGAAACTCCAATTAAATAGTGGATGAGCATTAATGTACAAGATGATGAAAATATTAAATTACAAGATCTTGCAGTATTTTTGTTTTCAATCATTCCGTCTCAGGCTGTTTGTGAAAGAAATTTTTCAATAGTTAAATAGCTTCTTGGTGATAGATATACTTAATTAGACTTGTTATATCTTGAATCTATTGCAAAAATTAGATCTTTTTACATTTCGAATATAGAAAAAGAATTGCGAATTTATGGCAAAGATATTACTGAGAATGAACTAAAAGAAAATTTTTACCAATTGATATCTGTACAACAAATAGAAATTTTAGAAAATAAAAACATCAAAGAAAATAATAATTTACAACAATTATTTACTGATTTAAGTATTTCTCAAATTATTGATTTGTTATTATCTGCATTTTCAGCAACAAACAATATTTTGATTGAATTTACTACAAATAGATTAGCACTTTATAAAAGAAACTATGATTTAGGCAATATGGAATATAATCTGATTAGCTTAGCACAACAGATAGTGAATGAAGAAAATAGTAAAATTAGTAATGATAGCTACAATTGAATTATAATATTTTATATATGTAATTCAATAATTTAACAATTAAGTTGCATCTTTAATTTTTTAGTTTCACCAGGTCTATCTGGTGAAATATATTAGTTTCACCAACAAGTTTAGTTCTAATATAGGAGGGAGACAAACTCTTGTTTTAGCAGATCACGAATAAGTACCCATGGTAATCAGATGAGTTGTATTTTAGTTTTAAAGTATTAATACTAGAGGTAGTAATAGCATTTAATAATGTAACTACTTTATTTCTAAATAAAATATGACATGATCACTAAAAAAAAAAAAAAAAAAAAAATTAATTTGTCTAATTTTGAAATATTATATATATATTATAATTAAGCTATCTTAGCGAATATTGGGCCAATTTTGATAATTTAACTACTATTATAACTAGAATAATCTGCTAAACTCTGTTTGTTATTATAATTTTGTGAATTAACTTAATAAAATTTGCACCTATTCATATTTTTTAAATTAATCTAGTATAATTTAAATTAAATCGATTTGATGAACTTATAAAATTTAATTTGATTAAAAAAATTATTAGCCATTTATAGTAAATTACTCTAAAAATGTATATAGTGCATTATTCTATTATTATTCTAGAAATTATTATAATCTGATTTACAATAAATAAAATTTATGCATTCTAATATAATTGATATGTAAGGGTTTATAAGATA